AATATATTTCCTTCAGTAAAAATATTTCAAATGATTTTCAGGTAAGGTTTTTAGATTCTTTCAAATTCATGTCTTCTAGTTTGGAAAATTTGATAAAAACACTAAAAAAAGATGAATTTAAATGTATGAAACATTATTTTGATTCAGAAAAAATAGATTTACTTTTAAGAAAAGGAGTTTTTCCGTATGATTATTTTGATAGTTTTGAAAAGTGTAAAGATTCTTGTTTACCACCTATTAGCAAATTTTACTATAAACTAAATGACGAGGCTATAAGTGTAGAGGATTATAATCATGCATGTAAAGTATTTAACGAATTTCATTTAAATAATCTTGGTGAATACTGTGATCTATATGTAAAAACAGATGTTCTATTGTTAAGGGGACTTGGCACCCTTTGAGCAAACTTCTTTGTTTACGTATTTAAAAACTATATTTTAACATTTTATACAATGTTTCTATTCAAGAAAATGTTACCAGATGAAAATTTTCACATATTATTCACACAATTTTAAAAATTTAAATTTTTTGAAGAAAATTGGGAAAATTTTAAAATCCTACTCCTTTTGTAAAAATTAATTTTTTGACCTGAATTTTTTTATAATATTCTTATGGGTGTTCTTAACAACTTAAGGGATCTATTTTAGAATAACTTCATTCGTTTTCGAGAAAAAAAAATAAAATGTTGATATACAGGCTAAAAATCAACGAAAAAGCCAACATGTCTTACATTTTATTTTTTTTTAAAAAGTATTCAGTTTATAGCAAAACGGATCCCTATTTTTATTACATGCTTTATTTTTAACACGCAGGAAAAAAATTGAAGTGATTGGTAAATAATTGTCGAAGGAGTAGCATTTTGAATGCACTAAGATTTCGAAAACACAAACTGAGAAAAACACTTTAAAGTTTATAATTCTGAAAAATAATTATTATAAGCTTAATTAAACTTAAAATACCACTTTAATCCGGGCTCGACCGGGATTTGAACCCGGGACCTCTCGCACCCAAAGCGAGAATCATACCCCTAGACCACCGAGCCGTGTCGTATCAGTCTGATCCAAGCACTCAAAAGAGGTGCCAAGAAGAATGCAATTATAATTTTTCAATGGATGGAAAAGAAAATAATTCCTTGTTTACTCCTGGGTTATCAAATTCTGTTGAAAAGGACACAAGAGGAACAGTAAAATGTTACCTTCGAAACGGTTTAGCACAGTGGGCTCGACCGGGAACTCTCGCACCCTAAGCGAGAATCATACCCCTAGACCACCGAGCCTCGTTAAGGTTTGTAAACAAATTTGTGAACTTTACTGTAGAAAGCAATATATTAACCAAACACTCTGATGGAACGTGGTGCAAAAATATTGTTCCTTTACAATAAAGATATTTTTCGCATTATTCGCGTTTATAGTTTTTCGTTTTGATATTGCTGTTATACTTGGATGAAGTAAAAAGAGATTTCCGGGCTCGACCGGGACCTCTCGCACCCAAAGCGAGAATCATACCCCTAGACCACCGAGCCGTGTCGTATCAGTCTGATCCAAGCACTCAAAAGAGGTGCCAAGAAGAATGCAATTATAATTTTTCAATGGATGGAAAAGAAAATAATTCCTTGTTTACTCCTGGGTTATCAAATTCTGTTGAAAAGGACACAAGAGGAACAGTAAAATGTTACCTTCGAAACGGTTTAGCACAGTGCTCGACCGGGAATTGAACCCGGGACCTCTCGCACCCTAAGCGAGAATCATACCCCTAGACCACCGAGCCTCGTTAAGGTTTGTAAACAAATTTGTGAACTTTACTGTAGAAAGCAATATATTAACCAAACACTCTGATGGAACGTGGTGCAAAAATATTGTTCCTTTACAATAAAGATATTTTTCGCATTATTCGCGTTTATAGTTTTTTCGTTTTGATATTGCTGTTATACTTGGATGAAGTAAAAAGAGATTTCCGGGCTCGACCGGGATTTGAACCCGGGACCTCTCGCACCCAAAGCGAGAATCATACCCCTAGACCACCGAGCCGTGTCGTATCAGTCTGATCCAAGCACTCAAAAGAGGTGCCAAGAAGAATGCAATTATAATTTTTCAATGGATGGAAAAGAAAATAATTCCTTGTTTACTCCTGGGTTATCAAATTCTGTTGAAAAGGACACAAGAGGAACAGTAAAATGTTACCTTCGAAACGGTTTAGCACAGTGGGCTCGACCGGGAATTGAACCCGGGACCTCTCGCACCCTAAGCGAGAATCATACCCCTAGACCACCGAGCCTCGTTAAGGTTTGTAAACAAATTTGTGAACTTTACTGTAGAAAGCAATATATTAACCAAACACTCTGATGGAACGTGGTGCAAAAATATTGTTCCTTTACAATAAAGATATTTTTCGCATTATTCGCGTTTATAGTTTTTTCGTTTTGATATTGCTGTTATACTTGGATGAAGTAAAAAGAGATTTCCGGGCTCGACCGGGATTTGAACCCGGGACCTCTCGCACCCAAAGCGAGAATCATACCCCTAGACCACCGAGCCGTGTCGTATCAGTCTGATCCAAGCACTCAAAAGAGGTGCCAAGAAGAATGCAATTATAATTTTTCAATGGATGGAAAAGAAAATAATTCCTTGTTTACTCCTGGGTTATCAAATTCTGTTGAAAAGGACACAAGAGGAACAGTAAAATGTTACCTTCGAAACGGTTTAGCACAGTGGGCTCGACCGGGAATTGAACCCGGGGACCTCTCGCACCCTAAGCGAGAATCATACCCCTAGACCACCGAGCCTCGTTAAGGTTTGTAAACAAATTTGTGAACTTTACTGTAGAAAGCAATACATTAACCAAACACTCTGATGGAACGTGGTGCAAAAATATTGTTCCTTTACAAAAAGATATTTTTCGCATTATTCGCGTTTATAGTTTTTTCGTTTTGATATTGCTGTTATTTACTTTGGATGAAGTAAAAGAGATTTCCGGGCTCGACCGGGATTTGAACCCGGGACCTCTCGCACCCAAAGCGAGAATCATACCCCTAGACCATCGAGCCATGTCGTATCAGTCTGATCCAAGCACTCAAAAGAGTGCCAAGAAGAATGCAATTATAATTTTTCAATGGATGGAAAAAAAATAATTCCTTGTTTACTCCTGGGTTATCAAATTCTGTTGAAAAGGACACAAGAGGAACAGTAAAATGTTACCTTCACGGTTTTAGCACAGTGGGCTCGACCGGGAATTGAACCCGGGACCTCTCGCACCCTAAGCGAGAATCATCATACCCCTAGACCACCGAGCCTCGTTAAGGTTTGTAAACAAATTTGTGAACTTTACTGTAGAAAGAAATATATTAACCAAACACTCTGATGGAACGTGGTGCAAAAATATTGTTCCTTTACAAAAAAATTATTTTTCGCATTATTCGCGTTTATAAGTCGTTTTCGTTTTGGCGATATTGCTGTTATACTTGGATGAAAAAAGAGATTTCGGGCTCGACCGGGATTTGAACCGGGACCTCTCGCACCCAAAGCGAGAATCATACCCCTAGACCACCGAGCCATGTCGTATCAGTCTGATCCAAGCAAAAAAAGAGGTTCCAAGAGGAATGCAATTATAATTTTTCAAAGGATGGAAAAGAAAATAATTCCTTGTTTACTCCTGGGTTATCAAATTCTGTTGAAAAAGACACAAGAGGAACAGTAAAATGTTACCTTCAAAATGGTTTAGCACAGTGGGCTCGACCGGGAATTGAACCCGGGACCTCTCGCACCCTAAGCGAGAATCATACCCCTAGACCACCGAGCCTCGTTAAGGTTTGTAAACAAATTTGTGAACTTTACTGTAGAAAGCAATATATTAACCAAACACTCTGATGGAACGTGGTGCAAAAATATTGTTCCTTTACAATAAAGATATTTTTCGCATTATTCGCGTTTATAGGTTTTTCGTTTTGATATTGCTGTTATACTTGGATGAAGTAAAAAGAGATTTCCGGGCTCGACCGGGATTTGAACCCGGGACCTCTCGCACCCAAAGCGAGAATCATACCCCTAGACCACCGAGCCGTGTCGTATCAGTCTGATCCAAGCAATTAAAAAGAGGTACCAAGAAGAATGCAATTATAATTTTTTAATGGATGGAAAAGAAAATAATTCCTTGTTTACTCCTGGGTTATCAAATTCTGTTGAAAAGGACACAAGATGAACAGTAAAATGTTACCTTCAAAACGGTTTAGCACAGTGGGCTCGACCGGGAATTGAACCCGGGACCTCTCGCACCCAAAGCGAGAATCATACCCCTAGACCACCGAGCCTCGTTAAGGGTAAACAAATTTTTAGTTTTACTGCGTTCAAATACTTGTTCGAGAATTTCTAAAATTGCAACTTGTGATAAGAATTTTTGCATTAAACGAGTTTTTTCGTTTTGTTTGCTATAAATAGATAATGAGCTTGGGGGATTATTTACATTCCAAGACCAAGACCATTCTCCACTGATGTTACCTTTTGGATGTCATTTTTTAAATTAAAAAGGAATCATTTTACACATCAGGCTCGGTTCGGATAAGAAAACTAAGCGTGGCGCACTCTGATGTCTCAATATCATGTCTCTAGAACACACAGGACTACGTTTGCAGTGTTGTTAACTCATTCATTTTCCTCTTGCAACTTTAGACAATATCTTTACTACGAAATGCTCGTGGGCAATGATATCTCAATGCTTTGTTTATTTAAAATTGTTAGGAATTTAGACCACTTGAAAGGCTTTTCTTTAGATTACCCCGTTGCAAACATGCAATCTATTCTCGTGTGGAAAGGTCAACTGAAACTGTCAAAATAAAAATTATGTATGGGAATTTGCAATTGGTAGAAGTCGTGTTACACTGTCTCTACATCTCTTCCAAAATTCACGTTTTCGTGTTCAATATCCTCGTGCCGTTTTATAACGGGTCGTCAATTAACAGTTAATCTGGCGAAGAATTTCAAACAAAAACCTAGAAAAAAAAGTATTTCGGGCTCGGCCGAGATTCGAACACGGGACCTCTCGCACCCATTGCGAGAATCATACCCCTAGACCACCGAGCCATGTCGTATCAGTCTGATCCAAGCATTTAAAAGAGGTTCCAAGAGGAATGCAATTATAATTTTTCAAAGGATGGAAAAGAAAATAATTCCTTGTTTACTCCTGGGTTATCAAATTCTGTTGAAAAAGACACAAGAGGAACAGTAAAATGTTACCTTCGAAACGGTTTAGCACAGTGGGCTCGACCGGGAATTGAACCCGGGACCTCTCGCACCCTAAGCGAGAATCATACCCCTAGACCACCGAGCCTCGTTAAGGTTTGTAAACAAATTTGTGAACTTTACTGTAGAAAGCAATATATTAACCAAACACTCTGATGGAACGTGGTGCAAAAATATTGTTCCTTTACAATAAAGATATTTTTCGCATTATTCGCGTTTATAGTTTTTTCGTTTTGATATTGCTGTTATACTTGGATGAAGTAAAAAGAGATTTCCGGGCTCGACCGGGATTTGAACCCGGGACCTCTCGCACCCAAAGCGAGAATCATACCCCTAGACCACCGAGCCGTGTCGTATCAGTCTGATCCAAGCACTCAAAAGAGGTGCCAAGAAGAATGCAATTATAATTTTTCAATGGATGGAAAAGAAAATAATTCCTTGTTTACTCCTGGGTTATCAAATTCTGTTGAAAAGGACACAAGAGGAACAGTAAAATGTTACCTTCGAAACGGTTTAGCACAGTGGGCTCGACCGGGAATTGAACCCGGGACCTCTCGCACCCTAAGCGAGAATCATACCCCTAGACCACCGAGCCTCGTTAAGGTTTGTAAACAAATTTGTGAACTTTACTGTAGAAAGCAATATATTAACCAAACACTCTGATGGAACGTGGTGCAAAAATATTGTTCCTTTACAATAAAGATATTTTTCGCATTATTCGCGTTTATAGTTTTTTTTCGTTTTGATATTGCTGTTATACTTGGATGAAGTAAAAAGAGATTTCCGGGCTCGACCGGGATTTGAACCCGGGACCTCTCGCACCCAAAGCGAGAATCATACCCCTAGACCACCGAGCCGTGTCGTATCAGTCTGATCCAAGCACTCAAAAGAGGTGCCAAGAAGAATGCAATTATAATTTTTCCATGGATGGAAAAGAAAATAATTCTAGTTTACTCCTGGGTTATCAAATTCTGTTGAAAAGGACACAAGAGGAACAGTAAAATGTTACCTTCGAAACGGTTTAGCACAGTGGGCTCGACCGGGAATTGAACCCGGGACCTCTCGCACCCTAAGCGAGAATCATACCCCTAGACCACCGAGCCTCGTTAAGGTTTGTAAACAAATTTGTGAACTTTACTGTAGAAAGCAATATATTAACCAAACACTCTGATGGAACGTGGTGCAAAAATATTGTTCCTTTACAATAAAGATATTTTTCGCATTATTCGCGTTTATAGTTTTTTCGTTTTGATATTGCTGTTATACTTGGATGAAGTAAAAAGAGATTTCCGGGCTCGACCGGGATTTGAACCGGGACCTCTCGCACCCAAAGCGAGAATCATACCCCTAGACCATCGAGCCATGTCGTATCAGTCTGATCCAAGCATTTAAAAGAGATTCCAAGAGGAATGCATGTATAATTTTTCAATGGACGTAAAAGTAAGTAATTCCTTGCTTACTCCTCGGTTATCATAATTCTGTTGAAAAAGACACAAGAGGAACAGTAAAATGTTACCTTCGAAACGGTTTAGCACAGTGGGCTCGACCGGAAATTGAAACGGGAACCTCTCGCACCTGAAACGAGAAACATACCCCTAGACCACCGAGCTACGTTTATGGGTGGTATTTTTAGTTTTACTGCGTTCAACATACTTGTTCGAGAAATTGTTGAATAAAGATATTTTTTTTGCATGATAAACGAACCGTTTCCTATAAATAGATAATGAGCTTGGGGGATTATTTACTTTCCAAGACTATTCTCCACTGATGTTACCTTTTGGATGTCATTTTTTAAATTAAAAAGGAATCATTTTACACATCAGGCTCGGTTCGGATAAGAAAACTAAGCGTGGCGCACTCTGATGTCTCAATATCATGTCTCTAGAACACACAGGACTACGTTGTCTCTAGAACACACAGGACTACGTTTGCAGTGTTGTTAACTCATTCATTTTCCTCTTGCAACTTTAGACAATATCTTTACTACGAAATGCTCGTGGGCAATGATATCTCAATGCTTTGTTTATTTAAAATTGTTAGGAATTTAGACCACTTGAAAGGCTTTTCTTTAGATTACCCCGTTGCAAACATGCAATCTATTCTCGTGTGGAAAGGTCAACTGAAACTGTCAAAATAAAAATTATGTATGGGAATTTGCAATTGGTAGAAGTCGTGTTACACTGTCTCTACATCTCTTCCAAAATTCACGTTTTTCGTGTTCAATATCCTCGTGCCGTTTTATAACGGGTCGTCAATTAACAGTTAATCTGGCGAAGAATTTCAAACAAAAACCTAGAAAAAAAGTATTTCGGGCTCGGCCGAGATTCGAACACGGGACCTCTCGCACCCATTGCGAGAATCATACCCCTAGACCACCGAGCCATGTCGTATCAGTCTGATCCAAGCATTTAAAAGAGGTTCCAAGAGGAATGCAATTATAATTTTTCAAAGGATGGAAAAGAAAATAATTCCTTGTTTACTCCTGGGTTATCAAATTCTGTTGAAAAGGACACAAGAGGAACAGTAAAATGTTACCTTCGAAACGGTTTAGCACAGTGGGCTCGACCGGGAATTGAACCCGGGACCTCTCGCACCCTAAGCGAGAATCATACCCCTAGACCACCGAGCCTCGTTAAGGTTTGTAAACAAATTTGTGAACTTTACTGTAGAAAGCAATATATTAACCAAACACTCTGATGGAACGTGGTGCAAAAATATTGTTCCTTTACAATAAAGATATTTTTCGCATTATTCGCGTTTATAGTTTTTCGTTTTGATATTGCTGTTATACTTGGATGAAGTAAAAAGAGATTTCCGGGCTCGACCGGGATTTGAACCCGGGACCTCTCGCACCCAAAGCGAGAATCATACCCCTAGACCACCGAGCCGTGTCGTATCAGTCTGATCCAAGCACTCAAAAGAGGTGCCAAGAAGAATGCAATTATAATTTTTCAATGGATGGAAAAGAAAATAATTCCTTGTTTACTCCTGGGTTATCAAATTCTGTTGAAAAGGACACAAGAGGAACAGTAAAATGTTACCTTCGAAACGGTTTAGCACAGTGGGCTCGACCGGGAATTGAACCCGGGACCTCTCGCACCCTAAGCGAGAATCATACCCCTAGACCACCGAGCCTCGTTAAGGTTTGTAAACAAATTTGTGAACTTTACTGTAGAAAGCAATATATTAACCAAACACTCTGATGGAACGTGGTGCAAAAATATTGTTCCTTTACAATAAAGATATTTTTCGCATTATTCGCGTTTATAGTTTTTCGTTTTGATATTGCTGTTATACTTGGATGAAGTAAAAAGAGATTTCCGGGCTCGACCGGGACCTCTCGCACCCAAAGCGAGAATCATACCCCTAGACCACCGAGCCGTGTCGTATCAGTCTGATCCAAGCACTCAAAAGAGGTGCCAAGAAGAATGCAATTATAATTTTTCAATGGATGGAAAAGAAAATAATTCCTTGTTTACTCCTGGGTTATCAAATTCTGTTGAAAAGGACACAAGAGGAACAGTAAAATGTTACCTTCGAAACGGTTTAGCACAGTGGGCTCGACCGGGAATTGAACCCGGGACCTCTCGCACCCTAAGCGAGAATCATACCCCTAGACCACCGAGCCTCGTTAAGGTTTGTAAACAAATTTGTGAACTTTACTGTAGAAAGCAATATATTAACCAAACACTCTGATGGAACGTGGTGCAAAAATATTGTTCCTTTACAATAAAGATATTTTTCGCATTATTCGCGTTTATAGTTTTTTCGTTTTGATATTGCTGTTATACTTGGATGAAGTAAAAAGAGATTTCCGGGCTCGACCGGGATTTGAACCCGGGACCTCTCGCAAAAGCGAGAATCATACCCCTAGACCACCGAGCCGTGTCGTATCAGTCTGATCCAAGCACTCAAAAGAGGTGCCAAGAAGAATGCAATTATAATTTTTCAATGGATGGAAAAGAAAATAATTCCTTGTTTACTCCTGGGTTATCAAATTCTGTTGAAAAGGACACAAGAGGAACAGTAAAATGTTACCTTCGAAACGGTTTAGCACAGTGGGCTCGACCGGGAATTGAACCCGGGACCTCTCGCACCCTAAGCGAGAATCATACCCCTAGACCACCGAGCCTCGTTAAGGTTTGTAAACAAATTTGTGAACTTTACTGTAGAAAGCAATATATTAACCAAACACTCTGATGGAACGTGGTGCAAAAATATTGTTCCTTTACAATAAAGATATTTTTCGCATTATTCGCGTTTATAGTTTTTCGTTTTGATATTGCTGTTATACTTGGATGAAGTAAAAAGAGATTTCCGGGCTCGACCGGGATTTGAACCCGGGACCTCTCGCACCCAAAGCGAGAATCATACCCCTAGACCACCGAGCCGTGTCGTATCAGTCTGATCCAAGCACTCAAAAGAGGTGCCAAGAAGAATGCAATTATAATTTTTCAATGGATGGAAAAGAAAATAATTCCTTGTTTACTCCTGGGTTATCAAATTCTGTTGAAAAGGACACAAGAGGAACAGTAAAATGTTACCTTCGAAACGGTTTAGCACAGTGGGCTCGACCGGGAATTGAACCCGGGACCTCTCGCACCCTAAGCGAGAATCATACCCCTAGACCACCGAGCCTCGTTAAGGTTTGTAAACAAATTTGTGAACTTTACTGTAGAAAGCAATATATTAACCAAACACTCTGATGGAACGTGGTGCAAAAATATTGTTCCTTTACAATAAAGATATTTTTCGCATTATTCGCGTTTATAGTTTTTTCGTTTTGATATTGCTGTTATACTTGGATGAAGTAAAAAGAGATTTCGTTTATAGGCTGATAT